AATGATGCACAGCTGATCTTCCATAAGTGCATCCTTTATAAGTGCACCTAACACGCACTTTCTTTCCATAAGTGCACTTCACATACATTTCTTTCTATTAGTGCAATTAGTGATATGGGCCGACCCGGAAAATATCGGCCGTGAATCTTAGGAATGTAGACACTAAGACAACATTAAATACGAATTAGAATAGTAAAAAAGAGATCGAATCGAATTTAATTAACTCTCAATTGATGTTTAAAGTGTGAGAAAGGTTGAGTATCTTTCAGAAATTTTCAAAATTATTCATAAAAAGGTCAGCCCTGATTGCCCGCCCCAAGGCTAGTAAGCACTGCCGGCCCCGGGTCGACATTTGACACGTCCGGGTCGTTATTTTCCGACCCGGGTAATACCTCTACTGTTACTGAAATAGCGAGTAAAGTTTTTTCATTTTTTTTAAAAACAATGATAATGTCAACTTTAACAACATACGTGGTTATTGTAACAACAAGTTTAGTGACAGAATAATTTTATAAATTATGATAATATCAATACAAACTGAGTCTTAACCAGTGTATCTGTTGCAGGGACCCGTAAAATTTTAGTTTTAAAACTCAAAATTTTTTCTGATAACAATAAAAAATTTAGGCAAATTTTAGCTTAAATTTAGTAAATTTTAGATAAATTTTGATTTAAATTTAATAATTTTAGATAAATTTTGATTAAATTTATAAAAGTTTTATAGTTTATTCTTTTATTTTGTTAAATTACTTAATAATTCAGTATTTATATTTTGCTGATTGTTATTAAATATAAAATTAGAAACTAAGTCACATAATTTATATCTCTAGATCATGGCATCAATATCCAATACAAACTAATCATATACTGTATACCTTTGAAGTTAAATAAGTTAAGTTTGTATAAAATTTTTATTAAAAATAAAATATGTATCACTAGAAATAAGAAATCAAATATTTTTTGAATTTTTTGTAGCCTATATTATAGTTTACTGCTAATACAGGCCAGAGTTGTGAAATTCAGAAATATTCCAAAATTCCAAAATTCCAAAATTTTCCACCTGTGCAGCATCTCATTCCTATATCACAAATTATAAGTAAATTTTTAAAAAATTTTAGTTAAAATTGATAATTTTAGATATAAATTTCTTAGAATTTAAAAATTCTAGAAAATTTGAGTTGATACTTGAAATTTTAGATTTTTTGTAAAAATTTTAGATCTAAAATTTTACAGGTCCCTGGGTCTAAGTCTGAGAGGGTACTATATAAACTCGTGGCACCACCTGATTGGCTTGTGAAATAGCAGTCCATGGATAAGGTGTTTCGACCTCTCCGAAGTGTTGTGCAGGTGGTCGGATCTAGGCCCCAATGAGGAAACCGGAAAATGTCAGGCAATAGATACTAGGTAGATAAAACATAATACCCGTATGAGGTTATGGAGGTCCTGTGACACTAGTAGCATAGGGTTAACTATAATATAGCTGGAATCAAATCATGGCAAGACTTGCCGAAGAAATAAAAAAAAAAAATTTACAAAAAACAGAAAAATTTTTTAAGTTAAAATGAGATAATATTTATTTGGAAATTTTAGATAATAAAATATATATTCTAAACAAGATTTTTTGAATTTGGTTTCAAATATTGAATATTTGCAAGAAAATCAAAAGAATGAATTATTTGAAAAAATTATTGAAGTTTCTGAAGCTATAAATAAAAATTTTGAAAATATTAATGAAAATAATATATTTAATGGTATTTAAACATTAATATAATCAAATCCAAAAACACAACTCTCCCCATTAATCACTTGTACCAAAATTTTCCTATTAATGAAAAAACAATATTTTTGTTAGAGATACAGTAGTAGGTTCTAAAGTAGTGATTTTTATAGAGGTCAACTTGCTCTAGAGACTCCTCTATATATTCAACATGCAATCCTGATCAACCAATTGGGATGAAGAATCAGGTGTAACATGAAAATAGCTTTTTTTAAAAAAATTTCTTGGTTTAGAAGAACCTTTTTGCTGCTACTCTTATCAATCCTAACTCTAACCTTAATCTGGCTGCTATTTGGTTTGTTTTTATTAATATAAAATCAAAACAAATCAAATGATTGGTTGATCAGGGGAAACCGATGCATCACACTAGTAGAGTTTAGAACTGGTTTTATTTTTCATATATTAAAACCAGTTTTAATCAGGTTTAACATATGAAAAATAAACCAGTTCCAAACTTTACGCACTAGCGATAAATAGCGATAGGGTCACAGAAAAATTTCAAAAAGATTAGAAAACAATAAATCACAATTTTTACCGAATATCACAATATAAAACAATTTTTATATTATTTTTTATGCATATTAAGTTACTAGAGTTGGGGCATGGTGTCCCAGAGCATGCTTCAAAGCCAAAAGGCATGCCCATATTATGTGATTATAAACCTCGATTATGCACGCCAATTGGCTATTTTACTATCAAGATTAAGTAGCAAATTATGGTCTAAGAAATTTTGCTATCTGGTAAAATTAAAATTTAAAGATTAGGAATAACTTAAAATTAAGACAAATAAGAAATACTCTAAACTCTATTCTAATATTAGTAGTGAAATTTTTTGGACTGGTAATGCTAGGATTTAATAAGCAGCATAGTCAATAGGTTGAACTAATTTTCAACTTTCTCTATTATATTAGATCTCCAGATTCAAGAACAATAAACCCAGTGATTATCACATCATGTGAATCATGAAAGGACGTCATTTGTTTACTAGCACTAACAAATTGATATAAACTATACTATCTATCACCTTACCCTAACCCTAATTTAGGCCGAGTGTTTAAACATGTGATGTGATTATTACTAGGTTCACTGTTCTTGAAACTATCCAAAGTCAGAATCTTAAAAATCTCGAACGGTATCGAGGCAAATAATGAAACATCCACGTTTGACAAATGTTTAATGCTAGACTAAAACTATGATCATATGATTTCACGAACCTGCGGGCCACAAAATTGTGCAAATTATTTGTTGTGCGGCTTAATATTAAAGAATTATACTCAGTATGTTATGATTATAATCGATAAAAAAATTTATATAACTAAATAACTAAGATTAAGATGGTTTGATTTATTTATATACAATAATTTTTGGTATTTGTGGCTATTTTCAGATTCTACAGATTAGTAGAGTTTGAAAACAACTTTAAGCATTGAAACTGACGAGGCTGATGTTGAGAAAACTTCGCTCAAATTTTGAAATATATATATAGCGGAGCTGGGTAAATGAAATGATTACATTATTGAATTACCAAGTTAAACGTTTAATCAATGCACACGCTTTGATCAACATGAGTTGGCCAATGATGTGGAGAAAAGCGGGCAAAAGTTGCGTTTTTGATGTAATATATTTGTTAAAATCAAAACGAGTAACTTCGAACCTTTTGTCACGTGTGATAAAAGGTTCGAAGTTACTCTTTTGATTTTCGTAACAAAAACGTAACTTTTGCACAGTGCATTGAAATTAGATAATTGATATGCTCTCGGCTTGAAATTGTCAGCTTAAAGGTTGGCTGACTTAAAATGGCTCAGCTCTAGTATTGGATCTGAAGGATCGGTTTGGGGAGCACGGCTTGATTAATGTTAGCCATGAGCCGAGCCGAGCCAGCCGTTTGCATCACTAGGCGAGCAAACGACCATCGGAACCTCATTCCAATGATAAAAAATATTCACAATCCAGTGATATTCAGTCACTGAAAGCAATTATGCTTCTAGTTCCATCCAGTTAATTCCAGTTCCAGTAATTCCCACTGGAACGTTCTAGTGAATACAAACTAATGTACGCAATAATTTCAATGTATTGTATGCGCTTCTTGTAGTCAGCTGCAATTAAACACATTTAGTGACGTGATGCAGGAGAATTATTTCCGCAATAGTGTAATTCCACAACGATTGTTGAATTGGTCAACATAGAGTTCCTATCCATTATTCGTTTATCCATTTATCTATTGGATATCCAGATCTGAATTTATTCGGATATCCGTTTTACTGTTGATATCCGAATAATAATCCGAATATTTGGGATACCAATAGTGAATGGATATCTGGATAAATCCAGATATGGATAAATGGATGACGGATTTAGAGATTGTACCCGGACATTTTTATTATATGGCTAAATTACTCGGATAACCGGGTAATTTAATAGTACCCGGGTTATATCAACAAATTTAGTAATTCCATAATTTATGCATAAGTTGCATTTTTGATCTTATAAATTATTGCATCAAAATGTAGATTTTGGAATCACTCATTATTGTGGAAATAAACCCCTGCATCGAATAACAAAGAGTGATGCAGGAGAATTGTTTCCACAATTGTACGATTGTGGAATTGATCATTAACAAATTTAGTAATTCCAAAATTTATGCAAATATTGCATTTTTGAAGTCCAATAAATTATTGTATCAAAAATGTAACTTTTGCCTAGATTGTGGAATCACCAAAATTAAATTCCACAAAGATTACGTACCAGGTACGTACGTACATAAAAAATAAAATTTAAATTGCCTGGACAATGTTTAATAATATATTTGTTTCTTCTTACGATTACATTTCTTTCTCATTATTATTCATTATTTGAAATAATCTGTCGTTAATTTCGATTCCAAATTTTCAGCAATGAACACTTCTTTGTCGGGAGAATGGAAATCTTTCGTGAGTGATGCAATTATTTTGTTACTTATTTATTATGAAGCTTGAACTCATCATTACATTTCGTTTAGTTTGACACGCAGGGAAAAGTTTTTTGTAAGTATGGTATTGTAATGTGTATTAACTATTTTATTTTTTTTGTAAATTTTTTATAAACCAAAATTTTTTTAAAAGACTATAATACAAGAACTGGTATATCTCAATGGGTAATTTTTTATTTTTTACTTTTTTTTTTATCAGGTATATTATGCTTGTATTTAATAACTTTATATTTATATTAGAATCCTCCTTACCCAATGCAGTTATCCACTCAAATTTCTAATCCAAATGCCAATGTTTTATACCAAAATTCTTCTTTCTCAATGCCAATTTCTCAAAATAATAATCCAAAAGTCAAAGTCATTATTTTAAACCAGAATCCTCCTTACCAAATACCAACCCTTCAAAATTATATTCAAACTGATAATAATTCACAACAGCAAAACTACTATCAAAATTATAATCACAATACCAATATGTTACAACAGCAAACCTTTTCTCAAAATCATAATCAAAATACTAATATATCTCAACAACAAGAGAATTCTTCTTACACAATGCCGATCCCTCAAAATTATATTCAAAATGATCATAAGTCACAACAACAAAACTTTTCTCAAAATTATAATCACAATGCTAATATGTTACAACAGCAAAACTTCTCTCAAAATCATAATCAAAATGCTAATATAACACAACAGCAAGAAAATTCTTCTTACACAATGCCATTCTCTCAAAATTATAATCACAACGCTAATACGTCACAACAGCAAAACGTCCCTCAAAATAATTATCAAAATGCTATTAAACAACAGCAAAACGCTCCTCAAAATAATTATCAAAATGCTATTAAACAACAGCAAAACGCTCCTCAAAATAATTATCAAAATGATATTAAACAACAGCAAAACGTCCCTCAAAATCATGCTATTAAACAACAGCAAAACGTCCATCAAAATCAAGCCATTAAACAACAGCAAGAATTATTACTAATACAACAACAAGTGCAACTAAATCAAGAGTTATGTAAAATGATGATTAACATGGGGAATTCTATTTCAGACTTGTGCGACTAAATCAAGAGTTATGCAAAATGATGATTAACATGGGGAATTCTATTTCAGACTTATGCTAATAAGTCTTCAATTTTATTTTATCTTATTTTTCTTTTTAATAGTAAATGTAGGTCATATAAGTATACATTATTGGGCAAAAATTGTTTAATAACGGCCATTTGTCCGGTTGAGTCAAATGGTCGTTATTAAACAATTTTTGCCCAATAATGTATACAACTCTAGTCTCAGCGCCAATGTTTTTTAAATTATTTTAAAACATCTAAAAAACTGTTTAAACCGTTTTTTTTCATCCCTAAATATAAGTAATCATCAAAATCAGGATAATGAAGAGAGCAATTTAGTTGTTTAAATCATTGCCTCCTTGGTTTTCGTTCATCCTTAATAATTTAAGAATGAAAGATTAATACTTGCCCTAAGACAAATCTTAAACTACTTACTTTTTAAAGTATTCCAATTCAATTATGGCATATATTTTTCCTTAGTTTTCGTTCATCCTTTAATAATTTAAGAATGAAAAAAGATCAATACTCATTCTAAGGAAAACCTTAAAACTTAAAATACTTACTTTTTAAAGTATTCCATTTCTGTATTCAAATTAGTGCTCCTTTTTCTTTATCTACGCCGAATATATTTAATCAACATAAAAACTTTATTGTGCCGCTTTGTAACCGTTATTGGCAGGCTGCCAGAATAAACGTCATTAATCAAAAATAAAAATCATTTGATTGTATAACGAATGATAGCGTTATTTTTGAAAATATTTTATCAACTTTCTATAGTATCAAATTTGAATTTTTCAGAAAAATACCCTAAAGTGATAATACTATTAATTATTAATTTTATAATTAATGTATAATTAATAAATTGCTTACCGGAATAAATGCAAGACCATCTATATGAAATAGACTCTTGATCATGTTATTTAATAAGCGACTTGTATATATAGCTTCTGAATGTGTGAAATTCATGTATATTTTTACTTGCATTGGATTTAATAATTTTCTTTCTGCCTCTTCAAATTGTTCGTTTTCGGAGCTTTTCCAACCACTTAAAGTTTTATATACTTCATTGATAGTAGGTCTTTGAAGTGGATCATTATCCCAACATCGAATCATAAGCTCTTTGAAACAGTTGCGTGTATCTTCTGTAATATCTGGCCGTTTCCCATCACAAACCTTTTTACTATTAGATGTGTATTATGCGGCTGATTACCAAATGGTTTTCGTCTGGAAGTGAATTCCCACATGAGTATACCGAAACTATAAATATCAGTTGCTTTACTAAAAGATTCTCCGTTAAAAATTTCAGGCGCAATATATGGTATGACACCATAGATCGAATTTGAATTTACTGGTTAATTAGGTCTCCTAAATCACCTACTGTATATATGCATGATTTCTGTTATATTGCTTTCTATGGAAATATCTCCACTGCGTAGATCACGATGAACCAAATTTTTATAATGAATTACTTCAAGACTATAAAGACATATTAGTTAGAATTGAACAGGTTGACTTGAGATTCGATAGTGTAATTGACCTTACCTTTTCGCAATGCCTAATGATAATAATATTTTATTTTTCCAAGTTCTGTATAAGATTTTCTCAAAAATTGTATAAATCTCCACCGGAAACATACTTCATTACCATCAAATAATTCTTTTTAAACGGATCATGTGTAATCCCATATAATTGAATCACACCATTATAATTCATGAAATTTTTATGAGAATTTGCCTAATGAATAAGTATAGCAAAGTTAAAATAAATTTAAAATCATTATGTACTAATTTATTCCAGTTACCTCTTCTAAAAAATCAATATTTATATTAACAGAACTGTAAAGACATTTAAGAACAACTTCAATTTTATTCCATTTAGCTTTATATACCGTTCCAAACCCGCTTTTTGGTAAATATCTTATATCTCGAAAGTAGTTATATGAAATCCATAAAAATTGATCTCCCTTTGATTTAAGAAATATATCAATCATTTTGTTTCCACTGCTGCCTAAACCAACTTCATTGATACATGGTTTACATTGATAATATTGACTTATAAATATTCCTATAATGAACATTTCATTGGAGATTCATTAACCACTACATTATCACTGTTAAAATCTAACGATTCACCTATTTTTTTATTTCCAGATTTATTCACATACATGCATTTTATCATATTCCGTTTGCGGTACACCACTTGAGCATTTCGTTTTAGCCAACTTGCATGGATTGCATGCAGCTAGGGATGTTAAAAGTTCGGTTCGGTTCGACTCGACTCCATGAGTCGAGTCTTAATCTAGACTCGGTTCCGAGTCTG